CTTTAATAATAATAATAAAAAGAGGGAAAAAAAATAGAGAGAGAGAGAGAGAGAAGCAACAGGAGTCGTTAAAAAAAAAAAAAAAATAATAAAAAAGAATCATAACGAATTTTTATTTTTCCCATGGAATGAAACGATTTTCTTTTTTTGTTTTTCTCTTTCCTTTTTTATTTTTTTATTTTATCCGACAGAAAAGCTGTAGCACGCATGAAACGACATCGATCGTTTTTAAAATTTTACCTGCTTGCGTCCCGGTTTTCTTTCATCCTCTAAAAAAAAAAAAAAAAAAAATTTTCCAACATTTTCTCTCATTTTATTTCTCCTAGTGGAAATACATATTTTAATTTCTTACTCCTTTTTTTATTTTTTTATTGTATTTTTCAATCGCGAATCCATTTTAAAAAACGACGACAGTAAAAAAAAAAAAAAAAAAACCAAAAAAAAAAAAAAATTTTTTTATCTCAAATCTCGATCAACAATTTTAATTTAACCTTGAAAAATGTTTCGTTATCTCCTTTTTTTTTTTTTTTTTTTTTTTCTTGGAAATACATTTTATAATTAACCGATTTCCTCCCCTTCCACCGATAAAAAAAAAAAAAAAAAAATTAAGTTGGCAACACTGACATATAAAAAGTAAATGTAAAAATTTTTTATACTCAGTCGGGTTCTGACGGTCGTACCGTACGGAACGATTAAATAAAGAACGATAGGAATAAATTAAAAACAACGGAGAGAAATTATTTTTCAAAAAAAATCAATAAATTACAATTCTTCCTTTTTTTTTTTCTCATCACAAACCTAATAATATTTTTTTTTTTTGTACACTTTTTAACATTAATAATAATAATAATAATAATAATAATAATTTTTACTTTCGACTCCTCATTATCATTATTATTATTATTATTATTATTATTATTATTACAATTAATTTTACAACGTGTTAACAAAATTTTCCTTTCTTTATTTAATTATTTATTTATTAATAAATATATATATATATTTGTTATCATTTATTAACGGAAATAGTTTTTAGTCATTTTATTATTTACAATATAAATTATTAATAATGATAATGATAATAATAACAATGATGATGATGTTGATGTTGATAAAAAATTTATTTTATTACCAAAACATAGGTACATAATTTATATGTATTCGTCGAGCGTACATAACAATCAATTTTTCGTCCATCATCATCATCATCATCATTATTATTATTATTATTATTATTAATAATACACCGATTGGCACCGATTTTTCTTTTTTTCTATTTTATTTTATTATTTTTTTTTTTTTTTTAGAAAAAATAATTATTAAAAAATCAACTAATAACTTACGCATGAGTGAAAATATACATACATAAAAATAAAACCTTCTTTTTATTAATAAAATTAAACAAAGTAATAATAATAATAATAATAAGTGATTGATCATTATCATTATTATTATTATTATTATTAATCAACATTTATTTATTTATTTATTTTATTTTTTTTGTACATATAATTTTTCATTTGTTTAAAATTAAAATTAAAATTAAAAAACAAACGAACAAACAAAGTTAATATGGCCGTAAATATAACATATTTAACATTAATAATAATAATAATAATAATAGTAATAATAAAAACCGTTAAATTAGTTAAAGCAAAAGCAAACGAATAAAGAAGTAAAATAATAATAATGATAATGATAATGATGATCATTAATTATCTATTTATTCAATTAATTAAAAACAGTAACGACGACGACGACGACGACGATGAGAAATTAGAGGGAGGAAGAAAAGAGTGACAGGGGAGGGGGAGGGGGAAAGAGAGGGGGAAGGGAGAAATGGAAATGGAAAGAGTTGAAAAGATGGGAAAAAAAGAGAGAGAGAGAGAGAGAGAGAGAGAGAAATACGAAAAGAATGAGAAGGAGAATAAGGGGGCGGAGAAAAGAAAGCATAGATAAAATAAACGCGATATTTATATGAAATAAATGTAGTTATACGAACCTGAGATTGTAATTATTATTATTATTACTATTATTATTATTATTATTATTATTAACAATTGAGAAGGGGAAGGGGAAAGAGATATGTCGTTCTCGAATCTATAATAATGATGATAATAAGTGTAATTTTAAGTAATTCGTCGTCGGCATCGAAATTCCCGGAATCGAAAGAGGGAGGGAGGGAGGGAAAAGAAGGAGGGGAGGGGAAATCCTCAACGGAATTCTCGAAATTTAAATTTTACGAGTAACGAATCGGCGAGAAAATTTGTTTCCCCCTCTTTTCCTTTCCTTCCTTCCTCCCTCCCACCCACCTTTTTTACCGGTGAAATATTATTACGCGAAGAATTAAAAAACAAAGTTCGTTACGCCGATTACGTCATCGGTGACGTAATCGAACGCGCGCGTTTAAACTACTATTATACATACGCGTACGAAAATTATTTTCGGTTCGGGGGGAGGGAGGGGAGGAAGTAAAAAAAAAAAAAAATTCAGTTCAATTCGGAGAAAAATTCGGATGAAATATTAAAAAAGTACTTTTTTTTCCAAAAAAAAAAAAAAAAACAAACAAACAAACCACGTGATCAATCGCGAACTTCCTCGACTCGAAAAAAAAATTTCGCGCGAAATTTCAAATTTTTAAATTCGAATCGTTCGCGAACGTTCAAATCAAAAAAAAAAAAAAAAAAAGTAAAAACTAAATGCAATAATTATTAATATAACTATTATCATTATCATTAATATTGTCGACATTTTTTTTTTTTTACTATTATATAACGCGACGCGTATTTCATCAGTGGCGTCGTAAGAAATTTCATAAATAGGAAAATAATTTTCATTTTTTTTCTTTTTTTTTTTCTAACAAATTTTTAAGTACAAAAAAACGACAGAAAATAATTTCCCCTAAATTTTTGGTTTACAATCACAAAAAATTTCTTTTCCCGGGGGGAAGGGGCGGGGGTGAGGTGAAAGGGAAAGGGTTGAAAAGCCTACACATGACAACAAACATAAAAAGGAAATTTAAATTCAAATATTATTATAATATAGGAGTGTGCGAAAGTGACGTCACAACATTAAATTTACAACGCGACACTCACGCCAACACAATCAAACGGTTAAAAATAAAACATTATTAATAATAATAATAATAATAATAATAATAATAATAATAATAATAATAATAATAATAATAACGAAAGATTTGTATAAATGCAAGAAAATAAACGTGATGATGATAATAATAATAATAAAATCATTCGGGAATGGATGATAAATCCAGATTTAAAACGAGAGAGAGAGAGAGAGAGAGAGAGAGAAGCTTTCGCGCGGGTAATGGCGACGGCAACAACAACAACAACAACAAACAAAAAAACCGTTATTTTCGATTCGATTCTCGAAATTCTTTTTTTTTTTTATTTAAACATATATTCCCCTCTTCCTCTACTCCAAGCACGAACATTTTCCATCTCGAAAATATCATCATCATCATCATTATTACCGTTAATATTCCATAGGGAAACAGTGGGGGAGAGGAAGGGGGCGGGGGTGGGGAGAAGTTTCCATATTATATATAAAAATCAACGTATTTTTTTTTCTTTCCTCCCCGAAAAAAAATTTGAATTATTGCCAACCGACGAGAAAGAAAAAAAAAAAACAACAACAACAATTAATAATAATAATAATAATAATGATAATAATACTAAAGATTATATATATACATTTCGCGAATAAAATAAGCGTTTTTTTTTTTATCTTTTTTAAATTTATTTCACACACGTGCACCTCACACGTGCAACGACCACAAATATATATGTCAACAAACAAAACATAAGACAAAAGCGTACAACCAACTGAGAAAGAGAGAGAGAGAGAGAGAAAAAGAAAGAAAATTCGCCGAGAAAATTTTTCCTATTTAAAAATATAATAATAATAATAATAATAATAATAAATCCGAGTGCGAACGCCCAAAACGTATTCTTTCGCACACCCATTCTCTCATTCATTCTGTAACGCACGCACTTTCACACGCACACGCACACTTTTTTTTTTTTTTTTTTAGATATCGAAGGCACAGACTAGACCATATATATATATATATATATATATATATATATTTATAAAATTTTCAAATCGAAAAATTTGTTTTGGTCTCGAAGCATATTTAAAATTATTATTAATTAATTGGTTAGTCATAGAGAATAAAAACTTTTTTTTTTTTTTTTAAAAATAGCAAAAATAGATATAATAAAAACTATATTATTAAACTTTTCGTCCTTTTTTATATCGAACGAATGCAACGGACGGACGCGCACAAACGCACTTACATACGCACACACACGCACATACACGCATTCGCACGCACTCGTTAATTTATTACAATCTACGATGATGATGATGATGATGATGATGATAATAATAATAATAATAATAATAATAATAATAATAATAATAATAAAATTTTCCCGAAACTTAAAGTGTGAGATCTTCGCTTGATGTGACTGACTTTTTCACCTGCCACCTACCACCCTTTCGAGGATGGAAGGTCAAAGGTCAAATAGGCGAAGAATCGTAAGAAAAGTAAAATCGTCGACTCCCCCTTTCCCCTTCCCTTTCCCCTTCGCCTCCTCCCATTTCCACCTTTCCTACCGGGGAAAAAATTCGTCTGCTTATTTTTAGCAGATGATTCGACACAACCTACGCGAATTTTTGCGACGGAGAGAGAGAGAGAGAGAGAGAGAGAGAGAGAGAGAGAGAGAGAGAGAGAGAGAGAGAGAGAGAGAAAAAGACAGATAGATAGCGAGATAGCAAGAGAGAGAGAGAGAGAGAGAGAAAAAGACAGATAGATAGCGAGATAGCAAGAGAGAGAGAGAGATAGAGAAAAGAAAAATAATACACAAAAAATGTATTAAGGTATGAGGAATATTCAATTATGGCGTGATGCTATCCACATATTTATATACGCGTTTATACACGCACGCACACGCACGCACACGCATGCACACACATATCTACACACAATTTTTCTACATTCGAATTAATCCCACCCAGCATCGATTTAAAAGCGTTCAAAAGCTTCTTTTTCTTTTACAAATAAAAATAAAAATTAATTAATTAATTAATTAACAAATAATTAAAATCCCGACGACAATTTCCTCGAAAAAAAAAAAAACAAAAAAAAAAACAAAAAAAGAAAAGTTTTAATACTAAAGTTTATATCACGTGACCGAAATTTTCAAAATTTTCCAGTCGTAGGAATCGAAATTTAAATAAATAACTTTTTATATATATATAAAAAGAAAATCAAACGAAAACATTTTTTTTTTCTTCAAAATTATCAAATTTTTCCGGGTTATATATATAAAATAAACTGAACCTGAATCAGGTATTTATTATCATTATTTTTTTTTTTTTTTTTACCTTAACAGCCATTTTGTGGTAACTTTCAAACGAACTTACGTTGTGAATACCTGAAAGAAAGAAAAAAATAAAATGAATGAATGAAAAAATTTATCATCATCATTATCATCATCATTATTATTATTATTTATTGGATTTACCATTTCTGTTCTTTTCCTCTTTTCCACCACCATCATCAAAAAGCCGAAGAAGAATCATCGTCGCTTTGAGTTATTTCTTTTTTCATTTCCGTTTCCGCCGACGATTTTGAATTTTCTTTGTCCGTTGACCAATTCCATTCCCAACAATCGTCGTCACCGACGTTGACGTCATTTCCGTCATTCGGACCGTTCGTTTTATCACCTTCCGCGGAAAAATTCGGATCGGGTCTTTGTGGGGGACCAACGTTTTCTTGTTTCTTGTCCCCGGGCAAAGAATTAAAAATCGACGTGGGTTTTTGAAAAATTCCCATGAGTTTTTCCAAACCGATTTGGGGAGCCGTGGGAAAAACCGAAACTTTTCTTTTTCTGCAATCTTCTTCGTCGATCGTTTGCCTCACGTTCGACGGTTCTTGAATTTGAATTTCCGGCGGTTTTTTTTCTTTTTCTCCCACTACACAACAACCACTACCCACTAATCGTTTTTCCCCGATTTGCGGTTCTTCCACCGGTGGCGGCGGAGTTGGAATTTTAAAACCGATTTGAGGTGAATTATTATCCGCGTGTACGGTCGAGGGTTCGACGACGGTCACGCGAAAGCGTGACGACGTCACCGGCGACGAGGGCGAAATCGATGACGAACCAGACGACGAGGATTCCGACACGCGTGATACCCTGAAACGATTTCTCGAGGGACTGGGAAGGGGACTCGATGCCGGACTCGGAATGGGACTCGGTTCCGGACTCCTCAACCGTCCCGAACGTTTGGGTTCCCCCAACAAATCTCCCGTTTTCCCACTTTCCAACTGGTGTCTCATGAATGTCTCGCACGTGAGCGATATTTTCCGGGAACAAAAAAAACTCTTTGAATTTTCAAGCTCTTCCTTGACACGAAATCGTGCTTCGTTGAGCCTGCAACATTCCCGTATGTCATCGATCAACTTTTGATCCTCCGGATTTTCCTGGGAATCGTCGAGGTCTATGCGATGAACTGTACTCCCGTCGTTCAGTATCTTCTTGAGTACCGTTAATCCTTTCGTTCCGATCGCGTTACTCCTCACGTCGATCCTTTGAATGCACGAATTTTTTTCCAGGGCTTCCGCTATGACCAAAATCCCCTCGGAATCGATTTGAGCCGCTTGCACGCCCAACTGCTGGAGAGAACGATTGTTTATCAGCGCCGACTTCATCGCCAACATTCCCGCCGTGCCGATGTCGTTCTGACCAATGTTTAACGTTTTTATGGGACAAAACGAACTCTGAAAAGAAAATGGCGGAAAAAACGTGTTGGCAGGTTTTGTGTTTTTTGTCACGTCTTTGAATAATATCAAAATCTGACCTCCGTACCAATAATCCGGACAAGTGAAAACCCGATTTGCTCGTGAGTTCCGTGTTCCACAACACCAATGCTTCCAAACCCTCAGCTTTCTGTTGCATTAAACTAACGCAAATATATCCGCATCCGTTATCTTGAATCGAATTATTGCTAAAAATCAAACAAATTCTTATTTTTCAAAGACGTGATGATGATAATAATAATAATAATAATAATAATTTAATTTTATTACACAATCGAGAAGCTCCCGACGTTTATATAAGAGTTGTAAATTAAAAAAAACAGATGGTAATTATTAAAAATATAAATTTTTTTTTTTTTTTTTTTTTAAATTTTAAAAATAACTTTTGCGGTCGTTAAAGACCTTACAGCCCCGCCTTTGATTTCAACACACACACACACATTTTTTTCTTTCTTACTTTCCCCTTCTCCCCCCCCATCGATTTTATTACAAAAGCAATATATTTTTATTTATTTATTTATTTATTAATCGTTTGACCTTGCGTTTGTTTCCTTCCTCCTTTTTTTTTTTTTAATCCAATAAAATTTCAAACGATTCGATCACATTTGCTACGGTACAAAAGATTAATAATAACTCGAACGATAATAAATAATAATAATAATGATTCAAATCATGCAATTTAAAACAAACAAACAGTATTAGTATTAGTATTAGTAGTAGTAATGATGATGATGATGATGCTTTACCTTATATCGAGAAATCTAAGAGTAGTGTTAACTCTTAGCAAAGAAGCCAATTGTATTGCATCTTTAGAAGTCAAATCATTATTAGATAAAGTTAAAGCTTGCAAACTGGTATTACACCTGGATAAAAAAAAAAAAAAAAAAAAAAACGTTTTACACACGTGTCAAATTCATTTTCCCCCACGTTGTTAATTAATATGGATAATTTTAACAACAGCAAAAACCTTAAAGCATCCGTTAAAACAGTCAAACACCGGCCATTTATATTACAGTGACCAAGTTGTAGCGATGTGAGTTGTGATCCCACTTTTAAAGCTTTACAAAATACCATCATAACCTGTTCGTTTAATGGAGTCCCTTTAACATTTAATTCTTCTAACGAATGAGCCTGAAAAATAAATCAAAAAAAATTACAAAACATTTCGAATGAGATGGGGAAAAATAATAAAAAAGGTTGTATAAATCAATCGAATAATAATAATATTACTGACTTTTTTAATTAACCTCGAACAAGCTTGCCAACTTCTGGGTCCTAAACCGCTAACACATGAAATACTCAAAGTATTTGTACTTTCGTAATATTCAATCATGTCGAATAATGCAACGGCTGCATCGTCGTTAAGCTCTAATGAATTAATTCGAAGATTTTGAAAACGAACTCGTCGAAGTATTGCTTCTAATGCTTCCAACGATGCCAAATCCAACGATGCTGACACGTCTAAATCTGGACACGTTTGGTAACAAACCTAAAAATGGAAATTTGAAAACAAAAAACGATTAATATTTTCAATACTTATTGATTTTTTTAAACTAAAACTAAAACATTTTAAGTAGATTAAATAGATATATGTATAAATAATTAATTATGTAATAAAGTAGAAATTAAAAAAAGTTTGGTGTTTTTTAAATATTAAACGATATTATCGAATATTTTATCATATGAATTATTATTATTATTATTATTACTTTTAACTGGTTTACAACTTGTTCCAATGGTTTAGTTCCATGTTTTTCACATGATTCTTCATATAAACTCACTAAATCTTCTGGTGACACAGGACCTGAAAACAAATAAATTTATTTTAATATCGAAAACATTTATTTCGAATAAAAACAAAATAGAATTTTCATACGATTTAAAGAGGGGGGGGGGAAACTAAAAAAAGATTATAAAGGAATTGTTTTAAATGTTTGTTTTGTCAATTGTAAGGTTCAATGATTTTGAACAAACTTTTTTTTTTTTTTTATTTGATTATGTCGGATGTTATTATGTATCAAAAACAAATAAAATTTTTTCAAGTTGTTGTCGTTGTTTTTTTTGATTTTGTAAAGCAGACTTATTGTTTGTTTAAATAATAATAATAATAATAATATGTAATAATCCTTCAAACTATAAAATTAAAATTAAAAACTGATGACACTAAAAGTGAAAAAAAAAAAAAAAAAAAAAAGGCCATCACAAAATTAAATTTTATTTGTCACCAACTTCTCAATGTTAAAAAACAAGTCACGGCCATAATAAATTTTTCCCGAAAAATCGTAAACGTCAAGACCTATTCTTCCCATTTTGTGTGTCGCTAAGCGTAATTAATAATAATAATAATCGACCTTGAACTAATCAAGCGAGAAATTATAAGGATGCACTACTGTGTGTGTGTGTGTGTATATGTGCGAAAAGAAAAGTAAATAAAAATCATTGAATACTCACCCACGTCCCAGGGATTTTCAGGTTCTAAATAACCAGTAACGAGATCACGTTCATCATCCGGAAATGAAACTCTTGAATTTTTAACAACGGGATTAGTATTATTATTGTTGCTCCCATTACGAAGACAAGAAGGAAGCACCCTCGGTACTGAGGGTTTGTCATTAGATTCATTTATTTCCAAACCAGCATTTTTTTCATTCATTTTCTCATAAAAAGTTTTTTTTTTTTTTTTTTTTTGAATTATTATTATTATTTAATGTGGCATTGCATTTAAACTATTGTAATAAAAAAAAAAAAAAAAAAAAAAAAAAAAAAAATTAACGCACTATAATTATAACCCATACAAAAAACTATAAAAACGAGGTTTAATCAACCACTTTCTTCGAATGTCGACAACTTTCCCCCTCTTAATAACAATATATTTTCAAATTAATTTGTTAAATCGTTTGAACAAATTTAAAAACGAAAATAAAAACTCACGAGACTCGATACACCTTACAAATCAAAAGCAATAAAACTACAAAATGATGATGTGACGTTGGAAAAAAATATATAAGTGTATTTTGCCATCGTGGGACTAACTTACCGCCATTTTACAAGGTTGCTACTAATCAGCGACAAAATAAAAAATCTGGTCGATTGATATTTTCATCGAAATGATATTGCACTTATCGTACGGTGAAAAAAAAACTCTACGCGAAATATAAAAAAAACTTAAATTAAAATATATATTATTATAAACGATAATGATTTTTATTCTCTTTGACAATTTCAATTTTAATTGAAATATCGATTTTATTTTTGGGTCTACTTGTTAAAAGTTGAAAGTTTTGAGTGTTGATTTTTATTAAGGTACTTATTATTACTTTTCACCTGTTTTTTTGTGTTTCTCCCCCTTGTTTTTTACTTTCTTTTATGATTGTCTGTTTTCCAACCAACCATTCAAAAATTACACGAGTTTTAACTTTGTCCTCTCTCCTGTAAAGTTTTACACGTTTCGAAATATTTTAAATATCAAAGTTGATAACTTTTATCATGATTATTATTATTATTTATTATTTAAGTCTAGGAATGTTGCTGACCGTATTTTATGCGGCAGCAACATGGATGCAATCGAGGAGATTTGGATCATTGAGAACTAAAATCAATCAGTTTGTTAAAAATCAAGCCAGCATTGTATTTTACAAAATTCCAGATTGGAAAAATGAATCTGATGAACAAATGCTCGTAATGACAACATCTTCTTTATATTGTGTTAACAGACAAAGGGCCATGATAGAAGAAGTATTGCATTTTGCTGGAAATACAAGATCATGTGCATTATTTCCTCAAGTAAAACACAATTTAATTTTAACTTGTTTTAAAGCACTATGAAATTTCTTTTCATTTTTGAAAGTAAAATTAATAAAATTATTTTCTTTTAGCAAATTGTTAAAGTTAATAATTGGATAACAATAACGGATGGAAGTCCGTTTCCTATTAAAATGAGAAAAAAGGGTGTCATTTTAAAAGATCCAAAATTATTTATATTATTGGAAGCTGAAAGTTCTGAAAATTCAGATAATTCTCATTTATCAAATGCTTATTCTTACAACTTGTGGCAAATAGGAATACCTAGAGCATGGAGAGCCGATGGGCATTTGGGTATTATCGTCGAAAGCGATATTGATAACTTAACAAAAATCTCATCGTTATTTTTATCAAATCCGATATTAATAGACCATGTTTTCGAAATAAACAGAATTCAAAGTATGCAGCATTCTTATATTCAAGGTTTAAAAACCACCTTGAATTATTATTATTATTATTATTAACATTATAATTATTTATTTTAGCGATAGAGGTAGAAGGAAATCCATGTCTAGTCGTGAAAGACGCAATAAATGTGATGAAATCTCCATCAGTAGAATCGCACACTTTTTCATGTGAGTTTTAGAGTTATTTTCGATTGAAATTTACATAGTGTTCTACTTAGCGTTCTTTCTTCAATTCTTTACTTAGTGTTTGCCGAAGACTCAATTGCAAATGATTGGTCGAGCAGACAGTTAAGTCTGGAAGCATCACAAACGATTTACAAAAATCAAATGGAATTGTTACAAAGTTTTTCACAATGTGCAACTCTAACATCGGAAGGTTCATCCGTACTAGTTCCTGATGATATTTCAACATCTATCACACCTGGAAATAAAGGTTAATAATTATCAGAAGACAAAATAAAATGTCATCGAATTGAAAAATTTTTTTTTTTTTTAAAAATATTTTTCATATTTGACAGCTCTCAAATTATTAAACTCTAATCCAGTTGACATTCCATGTTGTAATAATGATATTAAAAAAGAAGAGATTAAAGAATGTGAAAAAAAACCAAGGGTGGAAAGTTTACCAGGAAAAATTGAAAAAAATGAAACAGACACCAAAGTTACCACTGTGATACCAACATCTGAAACGATACAAAGATCTCATGAAGAAAACAGCACTCAATCAACTCCTTCAAAACATGACTCGTCTGGTGTGAGGAAAAATACATTTTCGTCTCTCTATTCTTTGGGTTCTGCGAGTACCCTTTCAGTTCGATCCATAACCTCTGGAAAAACTAAACCGCCAAACGTATTGATTTACGCGGAAAGTCCATCGACAACAGACAACATAAAAAATGTTCTAAGCGAAACATTACACAAGCACAAGTAAATCCAAAAAATAATTTTAAATTTTCTGTTAAAAGTTTTTTTTATCATTTTTTCTTTTTTTTTTTTCAGGTACACAATTTATAGTATTGGAGAAGCACAACTTTTAAACGGTATTTGGGCTCCGAATTGTTTTTTGTTGGTTATTTGCGGAAACGTGTCACAACAAGTCGACATTTTGTTAACTTCTTATTTAATACAAGGAGGAAAATTACTTTGTCTCTGTTCTTCCTTTTTACATTCTCTTCTTCCAACATTTAGAACGGCCGAAGTTAGTTTTCCTAATCATTTTTTCTCGATGAAAATTCTTTCGATGTATATGTCTATGTTTAAATTTTTTTTTCAAGGTTCGAGAACGAGAATTGGTACGTTTTTCCTACAGCAAATGGCAGAGAGTTCGTTTAATGCATCACGTTTTCTGTTATCAAAATTCACCGTCGAGAACGAAATTTTCCGGGGATTCGGATGAAACGTCAAGTAGTGATAAGTAAGTGATTAAAAAAGCAGAAAGAAAAAAAAAGGTTTTTCGTTGGTGTTTCTTCCACCATTACTATCACCACCATCACCACCACGTGACTTACATTCAGTCATTCAATTCTTTTTTTTTTTTTAATTACTTCCGGTCTATGGAAAAATGACTTCCGTGTGAATGAATTAACTAATTAACGTTTTTTTCTTCTTTTTCCTTTCGTTTGTTGCTTTTTTTTTTTTTTTTCGTTCACGACTAACATTTTACAGAGACAGAATAAGTCCAGTACCGCAAACTCCATCATCGGTCGAAGTTATCGATAGTAATGGCGTCTCGCACACTTTACACGTTCAAGTTTTGGGAGTCGAAGAAACGTGGCAAACTCCAAGTTTACTTTTTGCTTATTTTCCATCACCCGGAGGTTGTGCGGTATTTTCTCAGGTATGCAATCGATCAACATTCTTTACATTTCCCGGGATCACTGTGGAAAAAAAAGAAAAACGGGTAGTGAAACATTATTGAAGGAAATGAATAACGTTTTCTCTTCTTCTTCTGTTCCAACAGGTACATTTAGAATTGGATCCTTCGGCGAGTGGCGACGACGAAGACGATGAGGAATTGCAAAAAAGTTCGGTGACGAGAAAAGAAATAATCAAAGATATATTATCGACTCATTTGGGTATGGACGTGAGCGGAGGAGGGATCAACGGAAGTGATAATAATGATAAAATGGGTTCCGGTTCCGGTTCTCTCACATACACGACAGCTTATTTTTTAGGGGTTCACGAGGTTAGGTTTTTTGGGGAGGTGGGGTGTCGCACCGGCTTTTGGGGGGGGGGGGTGAAATGGAAAGAAAATAAAATTATTATTATTATTATTGTTTGCAGGCGAAATTAAAATTTTTAGATAAAATAAAATCTCGTTTGTTGGAAAATGGCGTTTTGAAATTGGAAACGATGAAATTGAAATTTTGCAAAAAGGGAGAAACGCCTCCAACGGGAGCCACGGCCGATTTTCTTCCCGTTTTGATACATTCGTGTCCGAGAGATTTTTCAACCGTCGAATATTTCGAGGTTTGATCCTCTAATTTTTTTTTTTTTAAATTTTGATTTACGGCAAAGAAAAGAATTTAAAGAAAATTTTTTTATTCATTCATTCATTCATTCATTCCTGGAGCAGAACCTGGAAACGACGAGTTTGGGACGTTTGATGATATATTCGGAAGTTTTGGGAAGTTCGATGGATTTGGTCAACGGAGAATTGGAACACGGTTTTGCTGTTGTGCCTTCGCAACAAACTTCCGGTAAAGGTTTGTAAAGTCTAGGCATGGCACGGCATGGCATGCCCCCCCCTCCCCTTTCTTTTTTTTTTTTGGCTGTTGCTGCTGTTGCTGCTGCACGAAACCGAAAATTTTTGTAGTTTGTCAAATTATTGTCGTAGTTTTGTTATTATTACCTGTATTATTATTATTATCGTTGATATGTTAAGATGGCTCCGATATTTTGTCTTCGTCTGCTACCGGAAGTGATTTTGACATTGATTTGTTTGTAGGAAGAACGTCGAATCAATGGTTGAGTCCTCCGGGTTGTGCCATGTTCAGTCTTCAGGTACATTTTTCATCCGAGTCGTACATGGGAAGGCATCCTTCGGTTTTTCAACACGTCGTATCCGCCGCCATCGCATCATCACTCGCTGAAATGGGAAAAGATTATGAAAAAGTTTGTTTTTTGTTTGTTTCCGTTTGTTTGTTTGTTTTGCGACAAACGAACGTCGTTTTTGTTTTAATTTCGTACGTTCGCCATTTTTCAGGCATTCGATCTTCATTTAAAATGGCCGAACGATTTGTACGTAAAATCAAGTATAAAAATAGGAGGATTGATAGTCACGTGTTTCACAACGAAAACGAAAATAATATGTAACATTGGTAAACTAATAATAATAATAATAATAATAATGATGATGATGATAATGATAATGATACTCGGTGATGGCGAAATTGAAAAACGTTGATTAATTTTTTGCAGGATGCGGAATAAATTTGGACAACGAAATGCCAACGACGTGTTTGAATAAATTAATCGAGGATTACAATAGAGGGGAAAATGGGGGGAGTGGGGCAAAAAAAAAATTGAAAAAATTAACCCGGGAAAAATTACTCGCGAAAATATTTAACAAACTCGAAGAGATTTTGGACAAGATCGACGAAGAGGATGATATAAAATACGCGGAAAATCTTTATTACAAATATTGGTTACACGGGTACGTGACGTAGGAGGAGGGGGGAGGGGTACCCAGAACTGATTTCTTATCGTTTTATTTTTTTTTCCAGCGGTGCCAACGTGAGAATATTAGATTCGTTTGGAGAAATAAAACAAGTCGTGATATTGGGAATCGACGAATTTGGTTTTTTAAAAGTCAAAGATTCAAAGGGTCAAACGTTTGCCGTACATCCGGATGGTAATTCCTTCGACATGATGGAGGGTTTGATAGCACCCAAATTTATTAAATAAAAATGAACAAAAAAAAAAAAAAATTGTTGTTTGTTTGTTGTTTGTTTGCTTACTCGCTCGTTCGCTTGTTTTATTTCCGTTTGTCGTTATTGAAAAATTTGATGGTGTAGAAAAATTAGTTTAAATGAGAGGAAAGGAGGTTGTTGGGGTTGTTGGTTGTTGAAATGGGTTTTATTCCTGATGATGATGATATTGATAATAGAAAATAGGGAAAAAGGAGGGGAAAGGGGCGGGGTAGGGGTTTATGACGTAGTTGAAATTTTTTTTATTTTATTTTATTGAATCCTAAAAAATATTTTTTTTTTTTTTAAAATATATTTTCAAGTCTGATTTATTTATTTTTAAACATATCGATTTGTTTTTTTTTTATTTATTTAAATTTTATATATTTATATAAATAAATAAATATTTATTTATTTATTATTTGTTATTATTTTAAAAAAAAAATAAATTAATTAAAAAAAAAATTTTGCGATATTGCGAATGTTTTATTTTATTTTATTTTATACCTCCTTGGATATTATGTTTTACGGATACATCGGAGGAAATTTTTCGATGTTTTTAGTTAAAAATGACCTTGAGCGCGAAAATCCAACGTTTACGATTTATTCTAAGTAGGACGACCTTGATTCCAAGGCCATTAGTTTTAAATTTCAATTTTGTGAAAATTTTCATGGTCACGTTTTTTTCACCAAGGACGCCATTGTTTACGTTTTACTTTAAGTAGGACGACCTTGTATACATTTTATTTTCGCGGGAACCCAATGTTGCATTTTTTTTTATTTTTATTCATTTTTTATTTTATTTTACTTTATACCTCCTTGGATCTTATGTTTTTCTGATGCATCAGATCAAATTTTTCACTAAAGAAAGGTAGAAGGGTAGAAACCTCAGGAATATTTTTGAAAAACCTCTGACAAACATCAGGACGAATTGTCGTCATTATAATAATAATAATAATAAGCGGCATACCAGAATGGCATAATTGGAATGGGAAAATACATAGAATCCCATCAAGAGGACCCTATCTTAGCCCAAATCATACATACGGAAGAAAAAATTACAAAAAAAGGAGTACTAAAAAGGGGCAAAACAAATCGTCCAAGAAAATAAAGAAAACGAGATAATGGAAGAAGGGCAACTTGCAACTTATGATAGCATTGGGAGCCATGCCACCACATTCAATAAAAGGAAATTTAAAGAAGATTTTGAAGAACCTAAAAGAAGAAGAAACCATCAAGGAAATCGCATTATGTGGGACGGCCCACATTCTTCGGAAAATTTTAGCACCACCGAAATTCGAGTATTTGTCCCTAAGGAATGGACGGGTAGAAACCTGGGATAAATGCTTAAAAACCCCGACAAATAAGAGCCATGTCGTGTTTAAGAGTGACCATAATAATAATAGGATTCTTTTTTTTTTTTTTTTTTTTTTACCTTTTCATATTCGACTTATTAAACATTATTAAAAATTTCAATCGAATAATTAATTCATTACCAATTTACAAAAAAAACAAAACGAAATAAAAGGCGGGAAAAAGAAAAAATTCAAAAAAAAAAAAAAAAAGCGCACAACGGGATAAAAATTCATTAAAAAAAAAAAAATAATAATAATAAATTTAAATCCAATAAAATATTTTAAAAGTTATTATATTAAAAAACTCATCGACATCATTTATAACCGTACGATTCGATAATCTTCTGGTAGCGTTTAACTTTTCTTCCCAAATTCTTCGTTGCCAAACGAGTAAAGTGCTAAAAGTAAAAAAAAGATAAGTCACAATTATTCGATATCCTCCAACTTCAAAAACAATCATTTGACATATTTCATTTCAGTTTAACGTAAATTTTCCTATCACGCAAAAATAATTCAAATAATGTAGGTAAGGAATCGTTATCATCATTTTCATAATAATAATAATAATATTAATAAAATAAATAAAGACTAACCTGTTTCCTTTCAACCTTCCTTACTCTGACAAATTCTTTTGCCTTTCTCTTAGCTTCTAATACTCGTACAACATTTTGGTATTTCCAACCGACTTCGTGAGATAAACGACCCAAATGACAGTACTGATGAAAATAATAATAATAATAATAATAATTAATTATACATTTTGAATTATGAGAGAATAATAATAATAAAAAATATGTTTCAATCAATCAATCAATCAATCAATCAACCTTTCTTCCCGGTCTAAGGCAGAGAACGCTCATAGCAGATGGAACGACAACTCTCCTTCTTTTAGTGAATGCTGGAGGAATACCTTCATATGCTTTTAAATGATGAAGAGCATTTTCTCCTCTATAAGTTTTGTGTGGAAGCATTCCTGGAATCAATTATTTAAAGGAATAAATAAAAAAATTATAAATCGAGAATAACGGAGAGAATATTCGCTCACCCCTAACTGTTCTGAAAAAAATTCTACTTGGAGCCCTAAAATGAAAAGGACCTCTTGCAGGATTTACATTACATCTTTTTCTTAAAAACGACAGGAATTTTAACTTGCTCCTAAAAAAAATTAAATTAAATAAATTTTTTTATTAAAAAAAAAAAAAATTTGTAACGAGTGCAGCAAAAGCAAAAAAAATTGAAAAAAACGTACCTGAAAAAATTCCCAGATATGTGCATTTGCTCACATCTTAAAACGGTGACTTTTTCACCCCTAAGCAAGGCTTTAGCAACTATGGAAGCTAATCTTCCAAGTAGATGCCCTTTTGCATCAATAATAATAGCCTGTAAAACAAAAGTGGAATAAAGTTTTAGCACGCTCGTAATAACTCTTCAAAAATCATCTCGCTATCAATAATAATAATAATATTAATATAAACAACAGCATTAAAATAATCTGATAATTATAAATTAAATATAAAAAAAAAATTTTTTTTTTCATACAACAGTCAGCTCAGTTTCAATTTAAAAAAATTCACATCACCCTTATCGTCAGACGCAAATTACCCAAAATAAATATCATAGCTTTCTGTTTTAAAAAAAAATCAAAATTGAAAATTTCGATACCTTAATTCAATTAAAATCGTATAATATTATAAATAAATTTTTTCGATAAATAAAATTCCAGGCGTGTTATAAAATGGTGAGAAACCATGTTTAACTGTAGCGACCACATGTCACGTACAGTAGCCTAAATTGCATTAAATATAAATAATTTTCACCGATGAATTCATTTCCGTTACGTGAAAATAACATTTGAGTTACGATAAACGACGCGAATATAAATTTTGTTAAAATAAAATAATATTTAATATAATTTAATTTACCTTTTTAGCGAATCCAGTCATGTTGTATTCACCCGGAAACGCAAAATGGACACGACTGTGGTTGAGCAGGGAAAAAAATGAGTTTACGACAAAAAAATTTCCCTGCAACGATTATTGTTTAAAAACAATGTTGGTAACGATTACCTTGAATCCACTATCAACACACACATTAAAATAACAATATATTATAGTTTAGATTAATTGTATTTTTATTTTTTATTATTATTATTATTATTATTTTTTTTTTTTTTTGCAAAACGTCAAAAACATTTTGCCTTGTAGTTAAATTATTTTTTTAAAATAAATTATCGAATAATGTCTTATCAATTGTATAGAAATACAACGCTTGGAACAACACTACAAGAAAGTTTGGATGATTTAATACAGTATGGCCACATTACGCCTCAACTCGGAATGAAAGTTTTACTACAATTTGATAAATCAATAAATAATGCATTATCGACGAGAGTCAAATCAAAATTAACTTTCAGAGCGGGTAAATTAAACACATATAGATTTTGTGATAACGTGTGGACATTTTTTCTTACCGATGTCGAATTTAGAGAAGTACAAGAAATAGCCAAAGTTGATAAAGTGAAAGTCGTTGCTTGCGATGGTAGAAACGTAGCAGAAGAAGCTTGTAGAAGATGATCGATCAAAATGCTCAAATCGATTATTAATTTATATATATATATTAATTGAATAATGAACAACAACAACAACAACAACAACAAACCTATAATATAATAATAAATCAATCTTCCAGTATGTTTAACTTAGGCTTGAAATTAAATAATAAAGACTTAATGACGTGTGAGTTTTTTTTTTTTCCTTTTTTTTTTTTAAGTACTATATTAAAAAGCTAAAATTGATAATCTGAAATATAATTTTATTTAATAAAAAAAATAAAAATTTGTGTTTTCTTTCCCCCCTCCCCCTCCCCCCATTTGAATTAATTTAAATGATTAACTCGATTTTGGTTTATCGAATGTTTCTGTCTTCAATTACACTCAATACAAGAATTCGAGGAAAGCGACTTTCGATTAATTACATTTCGAGACATTCATTTTTAAAAATTGCATTCTCAAGCAGAAGACAATAATTAAAAAGTATCAATGACAAGATGTACACAAGTACAATGAAGTAATAATAATAATAATAGATTTAAGGATTTAATAAATCGAATAAATATGTTATAATAATAATATTCGACATTTAATAATTTCAAAATTTAAAAAGTTGAAAATTATAATCGAAATATTTGTTTTTCTCTCTTTTTATTATTATTATTATTATACATATATACATAGACATTATTAAAATCGATAAAAACATTAACAAAAAAAATTATTATTATTATTAATAATTATGATTATAATACAAATTAATCAACATTTAATATTCATAAAAATTTTGGTGTTAATATTTCATATATATATTTATTTATACGTTATATTTTTAATAATAATAATAATAATAATAATAATAATAATGGTTAAACAATTTTAACAATAAAGTTTAAAATTTAACAATAATAAAAAGATAAAATTGTGATGTATATTGAGACAAAAAAAAAATTGTGGTAAAAAAAAACATTTCATTCATTCCATTCGATTAACTTCCATAATGGATTTTTTTTTGAAAATTTTAAAATTTCCCGCCTTTTTTTTTTTTTTCTCTCAGTTGAATTTATCCATTTTTGTTTGTTTGTTGATGGGCGGAAGTTAAATCGGTGGAATTTTTTTTTTTTTAAGACTAGAAGTTGAACGAATTATTGGTTCCCCACCCCCACCCCCCTTCCGGTGGAAGAAGAATAATTAATTATTATTATTATTATTCTTCAACGGGTGGTAATATCGGTCCGAAATATGTCGGACACATTTCGTATCATACTTTGCTTTCGGGACCATCCGTATTGTGTTTGAATGATGTTCTGATTCTGGAAAGGTGCATGGCGCATATGTGACCGTAACTTTTATTATACCATTCCGGCGATCGACCCCTGGAGAGCAAAAGAAAAAGAAAAGAAGAATTAGAAACGTTTCTCTTTCCCCCCCCCTGCCCCGTTGCCCCCCTTTGTGGAATTAGTTATTTTTTTGTATTTACTTCGTGTCGACTCTCGACAAATGAGTTATTCTCGATTTTCCCGATCCGCAGGGTTCTATCAGGTATCTGGACGCTAATACGACACCCCGGACACCTCCCAACAAAACGGAAGCATCCGGATGTTCGACCGATGTTTCGACAATGACGCAAGCACCCTTGGGTAAATCCGTTTTCCACGACCTAAAAATATCATGTTAAAAAATTAGTTCGAAAACGATTTCCGGTTGTTTTGTGTCATCCGTTAATGTCCGCGCGGGTTATACGAACCTCAATACGCAAAAGTCTTTGGCCGGCAAGGGAGGCATGCTGCCACAAACGAATTGAAATATTTCTGCTTGTGCGTCCAATCTGGCAACGACTCGCCATTTTAAAAGGCTCAAATCCCAAAGGTGTCTTTCTCTAAGAACTCTTCGTACTAATTCCTGTGGCGGTGCTTCCACTTCCGTCCATACTTTCCACAACCTCAACGGATGACCGTCACCGACTTTCTTATAAGCCATATCCGTAAAACTATCCAACGAACACGGTACGGATACCCAACCTCGACTCCTGCGTGAAAAACGATTCATTTTAAAAAGAGAAAACAAAATGGAGGAAAAACGGAAACGGAAACGTACTTTTCTTTGGCTTCTCTTAAAAATGACGAAATACTTTCTCTTAGATACCCTCTCCAACCGTCTACCAATTCCGAACCTAATTGTTCCAACGTCATCGGTATGCTGTAATCCATAGTGCTAAATCTGCAACTGGAAAACATATCTTCGCTAACGGTAAAAATCTCTTTGTTTTCTTTCATCAGGTACAGAAGACAATCGTGGGCAGCTCGATTTTCTCCTAATTCTCTTTGATCAGGTACACCTTGATGGGAGAAGGAAAAGAAAAAAAATGATTATACCATCACCACTCGGAAAGTACTTAACGCAAAAGTTAGAATACCGATCCTGATGGTTCTTACCAACTGTTTTCCTTCTCCTCGGGGATGCAGAGCTTGATCGTGACATTGAATTCGGTGACGGATGATGAAGGTGAAATAGAGAGGGTGCCAAACAAACGGCAACATTGCTTGCAGTCATTTGATTACACGTCGATCTTGCCGAAACCTGATTGAGGAATTCCAAAACGGTTTGAAGTGCTTCCCTATGTTCGTCGGGTAGAAGGAGTAGAGCCCACTGCACGGCATCTTTACGATACGATTCGGGTACATCTGAAATATCATGAGGATGAGGTTTAGAACAAAAAATGTTTTTCCATTCCGGAAATGACGTAATAAAATTTAGAGACGTACGTTGAAATATCGATATGAACGTTTCCGATAGTTTGTTCGTGAGCAAAGCTTCCGGTAATTCTCTAAAATATTGTTTGACCATATCCGCGACGTCGTATGCTTGATGACCATCGTAACTTATCAATTCTCCTTGATTTTCCGTCATCGTTTTCAACGTTTGAATCCTGGATCGAACTCCGGATTTACGAAATAATCCGACTTGGTCTAGTGCGTTGATTCTCAACCACCTCAGTGCCAGTTGAATGCATTTGGGTAAAGCCTGACCGCTTCTTTGTAGTGACAAAAGTAACGGAACTCCAAAAACGGTTTTGTCTGCGTGTACGTTACAAAAAAAACTGTAAAAATCGCATGAGTCACGCGTCGTGGCTTTAGAATTAATTCTCACCTTTGTAATCTGGAGTTTTGATTTTCCTTATAAATTTGGGAAGTTCCCAATTCCATCCGGTTCTGTGAGTCGGACAATATTTTTCCATGCACGCGGTTAATTTCAAAAGTGACATTTTTTTCAATACCAACAATTGTCCGCAAGACAAAGCGTTCATGGATCGATATTCTAACGGAATGTTCGAATCAGAATTTAAATAATACGAATCCCGTCGTAGAGATCCTCTTTGGAAGCTGTGCCATCTCACAACCGTCACTCTATCATCACGGGTGAATGGAAAAAAAGAGAGAGAAATTAAATTTAAAAAAAAAAATCACGTGATCAAGGTGGGGTAACATGTTGTTGGGTAACCAACCTTTGCCTAGTTGTGATGTCCATTGGATCCTGATCGCTGTCAGGATGAGATGCAAACGTTCCACTAGAATCTTCGGTTAATTCAGAAGAACCTGATTTGTTTATGCAAGTATTACCACCTGTGTAAAGGTCATGGAAGGTCAAAATGAAATCGTTAATTAACGTAAACGAGAATTTTTTTTTTTTTTTTTTTAAACGAACCTTTACGTCTGAAGTTGGCCTGAACTTGTTCTCTGTACCTTTGGCTTTCTTTACCTAGATTAAGGCTTCCACCTCTCGATGGTGTTTTACTCGTACCCGGAGGTTCTCGATCTTTCGGTCCGCGAGGTCTTCCGTCAATGTAATCCACAACCTGATTTAAACAAAAAAAGAAAATTTAGTATTTTGGGGGGGGGGGTTATTGACTTATGCGGGATATTTGATGATGATAATGGCGGTGCGTTAGTCGCGAGAAAATGCGAACCTTTGCGTGATTGCTGTTGGCATCTTTAACGTATTTGTGTTTCCAACTCGTGGGTTGTATTTCCGAATCGGACAAAGCACCGGATTCGTCGGATTTCCTACTGTGATGATGAAAAAATTTCTTCGCTCTGTGCAATTTATTTTTAGTTCTCTGATACACCGGAGTGCCCTGACTGTTATCCGAACAATAACTAGAACTATCATCTGCAAACGGAGGAGGAGATGGATAATGGCAAAGAGGAGGAAGATAATAAAAGGATGGTGAAAAATTTTCGGGTGAAGAACCGGAAGTCGCCGTGGACGATACCTCGACGCAATTTAAATCTTTCATTTTTTGCTGCATTGTGGGTATGTCTACGACTTTCGGACCGCTTATTATAACGTTGTCGACATTTTGTTTTTTTCTACGACGGGATTTAAGGGATTCCATTCGTCGAAGTATGGCTTTCGCGCTGTCTCTTAATTTTTCGCTATTCGTACGACGAAATCGTACGGCTAATAATTCGCTGTCGGCCGATATGGAACCCTGGGGAAGACTTCCGTAACGGAAATTTTCAATGATCGGACCACCACCGTCTTCGGTCGCTATCAAATCCTCACCGGAAGACATCAAACGATCCGAGGATTCCAACGATGAATCCGGTTTTTCTTCTGATGTGTTACTAGAACCTGAAAAAATCACGTGACTTCTTAGAAATTTTCTCTTTCTCCCACCCCTCCTTCTCTCTTTTCGTTTCATTTCTCAATTTTCACCTACCTGTTGTGTTATTATGTAAATTGTTGTGATCCCCGTGATGACCGTTTTGACCGTGATGATGATAATGGTGATGATGATGATGATGATGATCGGCTACGTCGCACAATCTCGACCATCTTCTCGATTCCGGTTGAAACGTCCATTTTTCACTCAGAGCACATTGATCATCTTCGTCTGAATCGTCCATCTTTTAAAAAGCGGATAATAAATTAAAAAACAAAACTTCGAGACAAAGTGGCAGAAGAAGAAGAAGAAAACTTACAGAATTTTTAGGAGGATTATCAATTTTCATTTTGGCACAACGATTAAGAGCGTGAAGTCTTCGGAATAACGACTGGAGAGAATCTTTGTCCAGAAATGGATGATCTTTTTGAACGCCGCTCACATCAATCGGAAATTGCAAATCTAAAAAATTAAATAAACGATAAATTTATGAAAATGACAACGAGACGTGTCACCAGAAGTGTTCAATCTTCATTTACACTCAACATCGCGCCATTTTTTTTTTTTTAAACACCCGCCCCTCCCTCCCTCAATTTTTAAAAGTCGTCATCATTTACAACGACAAAAAAAAACCGACGTGAAAATTTCAATGTGATGAACTTTAACCTTAAAAGTTAAACGTATTTTTTTTAATCGGAAGCGTGGAAGACAGAGAATGAGAGAGGAGAGGGGATGGGAGGGGGAAGAGGGGGGAGTGATAAAAAAGGTTTCCCGCAACAAATTTTTTCAAGTTTTTTTGTTTTTGTTCGAGCGTGAAGTTTCATTTTTTTTTTTTTTTTTTTTTTGATATTTTAAAACTGGATTACGTAAAACAAATAATAATTTTTACTGCACCGGACATTTTTCGTGGAAGGAGAATAGCAAGAGATTCTGCCACTGACGTAATCCCTCTTTTTAATTTTTTTCAAATTGAATGTTTTTTATCATCACACTCAAAAATCGTTCGTTGGTTTTTTATTATATTAAAATTCGTTATATTTTGGAAAGGGAAACGTTGTTCAAACGAACGTATTCGAAACCTGATGATAATAATAATGATAATGATAATGATAATAACATTTTGGAAAAAATTCACGCGGGAAAATTTTTTTTTTTAATTAAATTTAAATTCATTTTCTAAATTAATTATCGGAGCGAGAAAGAAAAAAAAATTAATCGATTTTTCCGATTGATAATAATAATAATAATAATAATCAATCAATAAATAGAAATTAATATCGTTGTAAATAATAATGATGATGATGATGATAATGATAATGATATTAACGCGTGCGATTAATAAAAAATTTCAAAATTAAAAAGAAAATCGACGCAAAATTAATAAGAATTTTTTTGTTTTATCTATTGCCACGATTGTAAAAATTTAAACGTATCATGATGATGATGATGATTATGATTATGACGTATTAATTCGATTATTAATAACGTGGATGCAATTTCACATTTGAGCTCGTTTAAAAAAAAAAAAAAACCTGAAAACGCAAAAATTTCAGGTCGATAACATCAACAAAGTAAAAACAACGTAAACCTAAATCGAATCAACTTTTTTCGTTTGTTTGTTTGTTTGTTTTTCTATTGCATAACTATATAATTTAATTTAAATTCGATTAATCGATCGATATATCGATAAGAAAAAAAAAAATTATTTATCGTTTTTATTTATTTATTTATTTAAAAAGAAATAAAAATTAATTCATCTCTCGTTTTTTTTTTTACTTAATCGTGGCATTTAATTTAATTTAAAAAAATTTTTCCGCCATTTTTATCCAAGACTACGATTTCCGGTTTCTTCCCGTCCCTAACCCCCCTCTTCCTCCTCCTCTCCCCTCCCCTTTCTATCTCGTTTAATTTTATTTACCGAATCCGATTTGTTTTTTTTTTTTTTTTACTCGTGTTACGCGACCGACCAAAAATGACGTGGAATTAGAAGAAAAAAAAATCATTTACGTTTTCGTAATAATAATAATAATAATGAATTTTTATTAAACGAATTTTATTTTTCGGTTGGTCAATGGAACAAAGGAAAAAATAAAAAAAAAATAATAATAATAACGTGAGCATCAACGACGCATTTACTATTATTATTATTATTATCTTCTTAGAACGGTTTTTTTTTTTTTTAGTCACGATGAAAATTTAAATTCGATTCTTAAAACCGGAAAATATAATAATAATAATAATAATAATAATAATAATAATAATAATAATAATAATTTTTTAATGCTAATTTTTATTTTTATTTTTATTGCGGAGAATAAAGAATAAAAAGAAAAAAATAAAATTTTTTTTTCAAAATTCAAATCGAGTATTTAAAATTAACATACAAAAGGCTCAAGATTTGAATATTTGGGAGACAAGACAACAACAACAACAAAAAAAACAAAATGGTGGGATGTGAGAAGAAGAAGAAGAAGAAGAAACACCTTTATATTAATTTATTCATAATCAATTTAAAAATTAATACTTTAAAAAAACCGACGGACGGATCGGTCGGCCGATTCTGTCAAAAAAAATGTCTATCCACGATTGAAACTCTCTCTCTCTCACTCACACACTCTTTTTTTCTGTTTCTTTCCTTTGTCTGTGTCTCTCTCTATCTCCCGTTCATTCTGCTTCTCTCCCAATTTTCTCTTTTTTTTCTCTCTCTTTCTCTCTATCTGTTTTCTCCCCCCTCTCTCACTCACTTTGTTTTTCTTTCTGTTTTTTCCTGTCTCTCTCTCTCTCTCTCTTTTCTTTTCTCTGTTTCTTTCTCCTCTCTTTCTTTCCCACTTTTCCCTGTTTTTCTCCTTTCTCTCTCTCTCTCTCTCACTGTGTGTGTTTGTGTTTTTCTCTCCTACTTTTTTCTGTTTTTCTCCTCTTTTCTCTCAGTACTCTCTTTCTTTTTAAATCTCTCTCTCCCTCTTTTTCTTTCTGTCCTCCTCTCTCTCTCTTCCTCTGTTTATATTTTTTTTATCCCTCTTCTCTCTCTCTCTTTGTTCGTCGTAATCTTTCTCACTTTATGTCTCTCTTTCTTTCTATTTCTTTTTGTCTTAGTCTATCTCATACTCTCTCTCTTTCTCTATCCGTTACCTGGAAAAGTCTAATCGTGATGATACGTCATCAAGATCAAACTTTTGAGTTTCATTACACGAATCGCATATTTAAATTTGAGGGGGGAAGGGTAAAAAATTGACATGAAATTTTTTGAACGAGAAAGGGGGGGGAAGGAGGAGGAAGAAAAAGAAAATTTCGCTAAAGTCAAAAAAAAGCAAAAAAAATCATCCTTATAACGGTCCTGTTGTTTTAACACATATTCCTAACGTAATATTTTAAAATTTATATACATTTAATAGAAAAAAAAAAAAGAAAAATCGAACTCTGATTGTTTCAATTTAAAAATGGCGCGAATTTAAATTTAAATTTTTTTTTTAGAGAAAAAAGAAAATTGTCCAATTATTTTATTGCAAACATTTTCTTTTCTTTTTTTTCCAAATTGTCGAATTGTTGCTAAAAGGAATTGTCGCGCGTTTGTTTCGAAATAAAAAAGAAAAAAATTGTTTTTTCCGCACACACTGCGTCTCTCCTCCTCCTCCTCCTCCCTCCTTCTTTTTCCCCAATCAAAATTCACCTTTTAACCTTTTACCCTATTTGTCAATATTTAAAACAAAAATTATAAAATTTTTTTTTTTGTTTTTTAATAATCGAACACGATCGGAATCGGCCATATTTGTAATTTACACGAATTAACAAATCCCAAACGATTTAAACTTAATTCTTCTACTTCCCCCGTCGCCATTCACACCACCACACCCACACCCGCCCCCACCACCACCGCCACATCATCATCATCATCACTAAAATCTCACTCGAGATTAAATTCAATCAATCAATCAATTCGATTAATTCATTAAAAAATCATTCGAAACGAATATAAAACACGGATCGGACATTACCGCAAAAAAATAATCGCGTCAACGTGGAAGGAGACAAAAAAAATCCCCCCCACCCCAGTAAATCTCATTTTAAATCGATTAATGATAACTCTCTCTCTCTCTCTCTCTCTCTTTTTATTATCGATATAAAAATTATTTTTTATATTCGTTCGATTTATTTCAACCGAACGATTATATTTTTTTATCTGCGACCACGTTTTTTTTTTTTTGTCTTCTTCCTTTTGTCTCGCTTCTATTCAATCACGAAAACAATAAAAATAAACGTGTGACAAAAGATGAGAGAGAAAGAGAGAGAGGGAGGGGGACTAAAAAATAAAAAAATCGTGGAGACAGAAAGAATAAGAATTCGGAAATGGAAAACACACAAAACCTTCAACACAAACAAACAAACGAACAAGCGCAAAAATTTGTTCGTTCGTTTGTTTTCTCAAAAATTTTTCACTTCCGTTTCCCGCCAAAATGGGGAAAAATTTTAAAAAATCAAATCGAAATCCATATTTTGCTATAATTAAATTTAAATACTTCAATCGCAAAAATGAATTGCGTTTAAATATCGATTAATTGGTTTTTTTTTTCTTTTGCCACGTTTCGAACGAATGATACTCATCACAGGAAACGAACAAAATTCCAAAAAAAAAATGTGAAACGAAAATTTGTTAAATTTTCGGTGAGTAATTTTAAGAAGATGAATAATAATGATTGGAAATAATAAATTTATAATTCTAATGACACGATACTTTTCAATGTCGGCGGCGCCGTCACCGCCTTCCCACACAATTAATTTTTTTCTTTTTTTAACGACAAAATTACAATAAAAAAATTTTATTAACGTAAAATTATTTTACATATTATCGTCAACCATTTTTATATTTTGGTTGTCAGTTGATCCCTTCTTACAAACAACAACAACAACCACAACGACAACAACGACAAAAATTTCAAACGTGTATATAATTTCATAAGGAAAATTTTGCTGTCCTGCATTTTTTTTTTTTTCATTCTAGGTCAGGTTTCGTATTTTCTGTGTGAGAATTTTTTTTTTTTTTTAATTTCGCGAAGTGATTTTATACGTTCGCGACACGTTCGTTTGTACTCGACGGCGGAAACTGATAAAAACCGGGCGGGAGGCGGGGGGAAAAAGAAATAAAAGAAGAAAATAAATGGGGGGCGTAGATTTCAACGCCCGAAAAAAATCATCGAACCGAGAAAAAAAAATAAAAAGACGCGATTTTTTTTAAAAAAAAAAAATCATTGAAACTTTTTATGCATTCGACAGACAGACAGACAAACAAACAAACAAACAACAAACTTACCTTCAAACATTTGCGCATATTGTGGAAAACCGGCAGCTCTCAGCCATTTGCAAGCTTCTGCAGCTTCGATTTCTGTAAATAAATAAAAAAAAATTAACATTTATAATCGATTTAGAAAAAAAATTGTTTGTTGTTGTTGTTGTTTGTTGTTTGTTCTAGAGAAAACAAAATTTTAAAATTATAAGGTACGAAATAACGAAAAGAAAAATTTGCCGATGAGAAAACAAAATTTGTAATTACGACGAATTTATCGATAAACTAAACAACAACAACAACACCCACTATACTATATCATTATCATTATCATTATTATTATTATTATCATTATTAGTATTATTATTATTATTATTTTCTCCAGATGCCTCCATCCATTATTTTTTTCTCTTTCACTTTTTTCCATTCTTCTTTTCTAAAAACCACCCGTAATCGATAAAAATAATCCGCACCCCCTCCCACCTCTCTCTCTCTCCTCCCCCTCCCCGCCCCCCACGAATAACAACATCCGAGGGGAGGGAAAGAGGAAGGGGGCGTATTACCGACGTCATCGTCATTACGTAAAAACAAACCGAAATCAGATGTTTACGGTAAAAAAATTT